ATGTATGTATGTATGTATGTATGTATGTATGTATGTATGTATGTATGTAATGTATTTAATGTAATGTATGTATGTATGTATGTATGTATGTATGTATGTATGTATGTATGTATGTATGTATGTATGTATGTATGTATGTAATGGATGTATGTATGTATGTATGTATGTATGTATGTATGTATGTATGTATGTATGTATGTATGTATGTATGTATGTATGTAATGTATGTATGTACGTAATGTAATGTAATGTAATGTAATGTAATGTAATGTAATGTAATGTAATGTAATGTAATGTAATGTAATGTAATGTAATGTAATGTAATGTAATGTAATGTATTGTAATGTAATGTAATGTAATGTAATGTAATGTAATGTAATGTAATGTCATGTATGTGTGTATGTATGTATGTAATTAATGTAATGTATGTATGTATGTATGTATGTATGTATGTATGTATGTATGTATGTATGTATGTATGTATGTATGTATGTATGTATGTATGTATGTATGTATGTATGTATGTATGTATGTATGTATGTATGTATGTATGTAATTAATGTATGTATGTATGTATGTAATTAATGTATGTATGTATGTATGTATGTATGTATGTAATGTAATGTAATGTAATGTAATGTAATGTAATGTAATGTAATGTAATGTAATGTAATGTAATGTAATGTAATGTAATGTAATGTAATGTAATGTAATGTAAATGTAATGTAAATGTAATGTAAATGTAATGTAATGTAATGTAATGTAATGTAATGTAATGTAATGTAATGTAATGTAATGTAATGTAATGTAATGTAATGTATGTATATGTATCCTTGCACTTCCCCTTTGCTCCCCAGTATTTGCTGCAAAAACACGGTTTTTCCATTTTTTTCGCAAAGAGGACGTCCAAAAACACAGAGTTTTTCCAGATTTTCGGCAAAAGGATGCAGGAAGCCCAAGCCAGCAAAAAAGCCGGCAGGGGGAATCGAGCCTGCGACCCCTGTTTTGCGACACCGGGTCCCCGAAGACTACGTTTAGTGGAACGTCATCAAATTGCCGCGCGGTACGCGGGGGAGGGGGGGGTGACGACCGAAAAACCCTGCGTAATTGACGTGTCCCGGGGGGGGACTAAGGGGGGCTCTATCCTTTCTTAGGAATCCGACACGCCGAACAATGTCGGCGGACATATATGTATCTGTATCCATCTATCTACCTAATCTAACTTAATCTAATCTAATCTAATCCAATCCAATCTAATCTATCTATCTATCGATCTATCTGTCTATTCACCTATCTATCTACCATCTACCAATCTACCTATCTTCTATCTATCCTGTCTGTCTGTCCATCTACCTATCTACCTATTTACCTACCTATCTATCTATCTATCTATCGATCGATCTATTCCTCCAGCCGGAGCAGGCGCGATTGGCTGACATACCTGCCTGTGGGGCTTTGTTTCCATGGCAAGTCCATCGGATTGCGACAGGCTGCCCATGAATGACACTGCTAACTCAGGATCGAAAGCCGAGTGGCCCTGGTCATTGTCATTGATTCTCAGTGTCTGATGTCGTCATCCAAAGTGGTCATTGCTGACCACCTGCCTCGGAGCTGGAGGCAGTTGGTAAATGAGGTGGACCAGCAGGCCTGTGTTGCCTCCAGTCCTTGGCCAATGATTTGCAGTCTTGCACATGCTCATGCCATCAGTCACGAGTCCCCTTCTTGTAGGCTCAGCGCGCCCTGTACCTTGTAAAACCCAGGAGCTGGTGTGCCTCGACTTGAACCGCGATAGTGGTTTCAAGTCAGTGGTCGCGCCAGCAGCTCCCCCTCCTCCCCGTGCAGTGGGGCTGAAACTGAGGGACTTCTGGATGGATCGCGGGTGGCGTCGCATCAAAAATTATTCGGGCTGGTGCACTATGTCGTGACGGTCGGGCGGGCGTCGGCGTGACCTCGAAGGCATGTCGTGACGCGCGAGATTGGAAACACGCGAGTTCTGGTTCGGCAACAATCAGAACCCGTGCGTGGAGGTGTGCCTGGAGCGTGGAATAAGACGGAGGAGGCAGTCTTTCAGCAGGACAGTTCGGCCGCACGCCGTTCCGAGCTCATACGTCTTGATGCGACCTAAGGCAAACTCATTCGACATCAACCCCCTTCATAGAGATGTTTGTTTGCGCCGCCCGTAGTTCAGATAACTTTCTACAGATTTGTAGAGCGGAACGGATGTTGCATCATGTGGGCCACGTTCTGTACTTGATGTGCTTAGCGGGGTGTTTGTCTCTCAGTCATGAGGTGCGGTCGTCTTTTTCGACTGCGAGCGCTTGACCACGCACATGCGCCCACACATGTGTCTTTATTTACCAAATATAACGTGTCTATGTGTAGGAATATGATCGCATGCTTGGCGGGCGCTGTTTGATACTTTGGAGGCCCCTTGTTGATCAGACGTTGCTGCGTGCTAAGAGTATTTGTCTCACACTTGTCGGTTCCTTCGAGGAACGCTTGGCAATTCTTGAGTCGGCGTGAGTCCTGGCATGCTTCCGGGTAAACTTGGCCCTGGCCCATCTTTGCATGGCGACCTGTCTTACTATTCCAATTGCTGGTTCCACAGGGCTGTCTTATTCCAATCTCTGTTTCAGAACCAAAACATGAGGTTGACATGGTCATCTCTTCGGAGAAGATAGGGCTATCTCAGTAAACTGGGATAGCCATGTTTGGGCGGTCTCTTCCTATGTGTTGGGCGCCTTCCCCGTTTGAGCTGTTACTTGTGAAACAAGGTTGTGAGAGTGGAAACTCCGCGCTCGACTTTGCAACTCTTTGGATTTGACACATTGCCCGGCTGCAGGCGTAGCCTGTAGAGGGGTCGGAGCTTGGTGCTCGCGGACCCCGGCCTGGGAGTCAGCTCGTCCGCTCAGGCCGGCGAGAGGGATCGGGGGTTTCCTGCCCCGCGGATCCCGGGCAAAGAGTTCCGCGATTCTCGTGCTTGTGTGTTTAATGAACTTCACAATCACAACTTGTTGCACTTGAAAGTCCGATAATCTGACACCCGCGCACGTCCCTCTCAAGATGGGCTAGGGCGCGGAGGGTGCCTTAGTCGCGACAGTTTTTTCTTTCCCGCCCCTCCCTCCCCACATGCTGGGGTGTTTATCCCTGGCTCTTGGAAGCGCATCTTGGGTCGCCCCATACTGATGCACCCACGGGTGTCTTGAAAAAGAGATGCCAGTAAGCGGATGGGGGGTTTTGGGGTGTGATCCGGACATTGCCCCCGATTGCGGTAAAAGAGCCTCGCTTCCATTGTCCATTGTGTGTGTGCCTTCCGCTGACCCCTTTTTTGAAGCCCCCCCTTGGGCAAGGGCGCAAGTTTGTGAACTTGACCCAAACGTAGTTCCAACCGTAAGTTTATGGCGCGCGCGCCCCCTTTTTCCTTCTCGATATTCGGGAGGTGTTTCCCGAATCTGTGTTTTAGGTTCGCCGCTGGATATTGGGATTCCACGCAGTTGTGGGGGGCGGGTGGTGTTTGGGAGCCCGCGCCTCCGGGTTTTAAAGGGGCCTCTTGAAGAGACTCCCTGGTTCTAAGATGTATGCGTTCTCCTCTGCAACGCGGCGCAATATGGCGTTGACCGGCCCGAGCGAGCTTGGACATCGACAACTTGGAGGAGCGGGTCTGGCCTCACCACCCAGGCAACAGCTCCTCCAAGCTGTCGACCACAGCCTCTCCACCAGCGTCCAGCACCAGCCGCCTCCTCCTCTGTCATGCGTCTTCGTCATCTCCACCAGCGCAGACCTATGCGCTGTACTATACTGTCCTGCAAGGAATGTGTTCAATTTTGATGCGACTTCACACGTGGTGTGACTGTGCAGCTGGAACACGCGTGCAACAACATGAGCGACAAACTTAGCCAACAACTCAGGGGCTTGTTGGTGTGGGGTGAAAGTGATAAGGCCCTAGCGACTGACCTGCCGGCTACCAGCTTTCCATGCCTTTGACAAAGCACAGACACACGGTCGCGCACATGCCTGTCCATGACATGCGCAATTGTGGTTGTCTGCGTGTGACCCCTTATGCCCCTGTGTGTATCTATCTCTTTACCCACTATCTGTTTATCTATCTATCTATCTATCTATCTATCTATCTATCTACCTGTCTGTGTGTCTGTCTGTTTGTCTGTCTATCTATCTATCTACCTGTTTACGCGTGTGATCTATCTACCTATCTGGCTTTCCACCCAACTGTTCAATCTCTCATTCTATTCCGTCTACCAAGCTACCTACTTAGCACTTATTTGTTCCACTGTCTACCCATCCATGTATCCATCTACAAACCTATCAATCTAACAAACCTCTCACCCCCCTCAGAACCCGAACCCTGGACCCCCAACACTCCTTTCACAGAGTTCTAAGCCAATACTAAACCTGCAGATTTCGCGCCAACCGGCATTTTTTTATTATCTTTAAATTCAGGTTTCCCGCCTTCCAGATTTAGATTGCGCCTTTCGCTTTGGAACCGCAAAAGTGAAGAACAGCCTTGAACGCTTCTTGCTGTTTTCACAACATGTCGGCCGTGCATGTTTGGGTTTTGGGAAGCCCGCGGACCACGACTTCCGAGGCGGTCCAACCTTTCCTCAGTCCTTGACTTCTTTTTGTGGAAACCAAAAGCTTCATCCATGGAAGTGAGACTCTGCGGGGGGCACGTCTTCAAAAGGGGTCCAACCAGTTGAACGCCGATCTCTCCTGAAAAAGTGGGTCCAGGTGTCTCCCAGAACCATCAAACTCCTGGCTTCCTTGGGCGGCGAAAAAGTGTCAACCAAATGGGGGTCATAAGAACCATTGAGTGAAGGTACCTTTTTCAGGTTGGTTCAAAGGGACACCAAAAGGAACAACACAATTTTGTCCGTGGAAATTGGGTTGTGTTACCCAAGCAACTGCTTCAAACACTTAGCGGCCCAATTTTAGCTTCCCTGAACCAATTGACCTTAGCGGTGTCCAACCGTTTTGTGACGGAGGCCCTGGCCACTGGGCGTGCTTCCTGGCGACCTTTGCATGGTGCGGGCCCTGAGGCCTTGGGGCTTCAAACGGCGGGCGGGGGGTTTGACGCTGGAAATGCCCTGGGCTCACTGGGCTCGAGGTCTGCGCTTCGTTGAGGCACCTGCGCCCCGAACAGTTTCAAGTTGGCAGGCGTGGGGCAGTAGGCTCGGCTTTTGTGAGATGATTAGCATCGGCACGGCCTTTGCCTGCATATTTTGATTCTATGCTGCCATTTGACAACCTTTGAAGACCATCCAAAGCAGGCTCCTTTTCCAACTTTGGTTGACACATCCATTTGCTCGCTTGTCAAACATAATTTTCGGCCAATGCTACTTGGGTGGCTGTCATTTGGGAGCGATTAGGTTTAGCATTAATTTGGGCTGGTGTATATGGGTGGGTTTGGGCAGGGTTTAGTGCTGGTGCAGGGTGGGTGTAAAAGGTCGATTTAGGGTAGGTTTGGCTAGATCTTGGGTTTGTCGGGACTGGTTTGGGCCGGTTTCGGGCCGGTTTAGGGCGAACTGCTTGAGTTTAGGGTTGGTTTCAGGAGGGTTGGTTTGGGTTGGATTGTTTACCGTGGGTTTTGGTTGTGCAAGGCTGGGCTTTGGGTGAGCGTAAGGCAGCCCAACGCAAGGATCCCTCCATGAGCTTGTGACGCGGGTCCGAGATCGCTGTACCTCGACAAATTCCAAACATAAAGTCTAGGTCCCCCAGTAGTGCCCTTTTACCCTTCTTTGGGAGGGTTCCCCTACTAAAATAGTCTACAGAAAAAAGTTGGTACCCTTATTCTAACCACTCTACTGGAGGACCTAGAAGTGCTGAAGGGAGGCAATGGGAAAGATCGAGCGCTCGCTTGGTGCCATGGTTTACCCTGTCGCAAATTTTAGGGAAGCCATCATGGCGGCAAAAGTCTTTGTCTGACACCTAAAAAACAGTTGGAAAGAGCATGTGCAGCGTTTGGATGTGGGTTGGTCTCAGAAATGGGGCAGCGCCAAAACGAGTAATTTCCTTTTGGTTTTTTGTCCTAACGCCCCGAAAAAGGCTAGGTCCCCCAGTAGTGCCCCTTCTCACCCCTTTTTTGGTTGGGAGGGTTCCCCTAATAAAATAGACTACATAAAAAAGGGCACCCTTATTCTAACCTCTCTACTGGACGACCTAGAAGGGTATCCTCACAGAATGCGTCCGAACCTTTGCGAGCCTGAGGTTGCAGAAGTGCCTGGTATGTTTGCGGAACGAACCCGTCATCACATTCAGCGAGGCCTGACACAGGGCGCAACCCGAACCAGGGAGATTGAGCAGTCCGAAAGGTTGATAGTGGGCAACCTTTTTAATTACACCAATGCGACAATCAAGAGTCCAAAGGACCCAGCCGCTCTCGCACTTGTGGTGTTTCTGCGAAACTCGCAGGGTTAGGTGTAGTCGATGGTGAATGCTTCAGGGACGTGGAGGACTCCACTTTTGAATGTCCCGCAAAGCCGGGGGGACCCTCCAAGTTTCCCATCCGAGCCACAAGCAAAACCCGGGTAAGTGAAGGGTAGTAAGGGACGATCCCAGCCATAAATAGCTGCGGAATTCCGCCTTCTTAGTTCTTGAAGCACGGTTCTGGGTCGGCCATTTTTGCACCATGTTTTGATTGTGACTCATGTCCATTTGGGGCACAGATTTGGTCCATGGCGCGGGGCCAACATCGGATGCCACGGCTCGAAATTGGAGGGTTTGTTACCAGCTCCGAGAGCCTTGGAAGAAAGTCCCGACCTGCGGCCTGCACCAATTTTGACCCATCTTTTTTTGTTTACGAAACAATCTTTTGGGGGGGTGCCCCCTTTAGAGGGTGATCCTTCAATTTGTGGGAAACGCCCCGCTTACTACCATGAGTCCAGCGTCACAGCACCTTTGGGGGGTGACTAGTAGGCTGGAAAATCTAAAATCATGAGAGTTTCTGTCCCATTTGCTCCGTGTGTTTGAAAAAAAAAAAGCTGCCAAAAGAGCCCAGGTCCTGTTTCCATGAGATACCACTACTCTTGACCAGCGGTTCTGAGATTTCCCTCCTTTGGTTCCACCATCGCATGTTTTCACCCAAGCCAAATAAGGACCGACAAGGAACATACAAGGACTTATTTACAGAGCCACAATGTCAACTTTGGATTAATCCGGAGAACCAAAGCGGAACAATCCCACAATGAACTGTGTAAGTTAAAGCAAACCCAGTCACTTTTAGGAACAGAATCTCCTCAGGGCGGCCTTATTAAGAACTCCATGTCAATTTACAGCATGGATTTCCCAGAAGCGGAGATCAGCAGGACCACCCCGCTTGGCAATTTCCCAACCTCAAGAGAAAACTCACAGCGCCCCAAACTCCCCCATGGTTTTCTTTGGTGAGTTCCACCTGGCTTGAGTAACGCGATTACAACAAAGCCTGTAAAAACCTTTAGCAGAATTCAGAACTGGGGCCATTCTGTTGCTGTGGGTCAAAACCAATGGGATCCCCTTTTGGGGTAGGTGAATTCACCACCCATTTTAGGCTTTATTTTAGTGGTTGGATTGAATCGGATGTTCACTGGGGGCCAACCGATTCGGATTTTGACCACCATCGCCATGTTGCTGGGGATTTTCTCATTCTCCGAATTTGGGGGTCCCGGGGTCCCTCGAACCGTGGTCACGAAGAGAACTCTGCCTCTTGAGGGAGCTCACCGGAAAGGAGCGAGCGAAAGCCGCGAGATAAAAGGCTCTTTTACGTGGGGATCCCGTAAATTCTTCTAGGTCCCCCAGTAGTGCTTTTTGTAACCCGTTTCTGTTTTGGTTGGGAGGGTTCCCCTACTTAGAATAGACTACAGAAATCAAGTTGGTACCCTCATTCAAACCTCTCTACTGGAAGACCTAGTCTAAGTTCTGAATTCAGCCTTTGGAATGATGGTAAGATTTGCCAGCAAAAATGTTAGACTGAGCGGATGTTGGGAGCCGGTTTTTGTCAAACACGACCCCATGAGAGCTGCCGGATGGGAGCTGAGCCAGGCTGAGCTCCATGCGGCGAGCGTGGAAGTGGCGCGGTGGTTGGAGGCCATCGGATTTGAAGGACAGGATTCGGGGCCCCCAGAAGGCCATGGGTCAAAAGCAAAAGCCGAATCGTGCCCCCAGTGAACATCCGATTCAATCCAACCACTAAAATAAAGCCTAAAATGGGTGGTGAATTCACCGAAACCCCCAAAATGGGATCCACTTGGTGACCCACAGCCAAAAGGGTTTCGGCTTCCTGGTGCTTTTTTTGCTCTTCAACCGATCCCCCCAAAAATGAAGGGCACCCTTGACAAATGAGACACCTAGGGTTTGAATTTTCAACCGGAAACCAGGAGGTTGGTTCAAAAGGAGACCAAAAAGACAGCTGAAGCCAATTTGGGGTTTTCCCTATTTGCATATCCATATAGGCGTTCAGGTTTGAATGTCTTTCTATGAGGGTCCCCTTTTTGGATGATGTCAGCGGGAAGCCCAAAGGAAACCTTACAGCCCATTTTAGTGGTTCCCCAATTGTATGAGTTTGAACTGGTACCCTGCGGACACTTTTTGGTTAAGGACGGTCCGGTCCACAATTTAAAATTATTCATTGCCACTTTGGCCATTTGGTTGAAGGCCACGTCAAGTTCGGATTTGCCCACAACGCGTAGGCCCTCAAATAGATCACAATCCTGCTCAGAGAGGAGCCAACGCTGATGAATACAGTCGACCAGATGAATCTGAAGCTAGCATTGTAAGCCTTCAGAAGCCCAAAGTCAATCAGGGCTCCAACTAGTTTTTTTTTTTTTCTCTTTTTTTTCGGCAACGTTGTGCTTCCCTTTGGTCGCAGGGCAACTTTGAAGGGGGAAAATCAATTTGGGTACGTTGGCCATTTTAGGAAGCGGCTGGCGAAGCTGAAAGCAACGACCAACAACAGGGGTACTTTTGTTTTGGTACTTTTTCTTCTTCTTTCTTTTTTTTTTGGGGTGGGGTGGGTGGGTTGTTTTAGCCCGTCTTTCTACCCTTGTAACACAGGGATCGACGGGGAGCACAGGCGGTTGGTAATTCGCCACGGCCCCAGGGCAACATGTATCTGCCGGAACAACCCATGATCTCACGAGGGGATGGTCGGGAAGCTGGCTGGTTTTGTGTAAGGTGCAAGGTAAAAGCAAAAACTGTATGTCCAGCATGTTTGGTTGACCGCCTGATGTGCAAGCAGCTTTGACCCTAAACCAAGGCACCATTGGTGTATGGGACCAGAACAGGGTCTGGGATCAGACACAAAGGGGTGCCCTCCCTCCACCACGCCTAGCAGTGGGTTGCTCGACAACTGGGAATTCCAGGTGCCTTCCCACAGATGCTATGTTGCCTCAATCGGGAATTCAGATTGGCGGTCTGGGCATTGAACCCCTTCTAGCTGCCAAAACACCGGGCTCCAAGAACCTGTTGAGGGAGACTGAGAAGCTCCCCCCGCAAGCTGCCAAAACGCCAAGCTCCGAACCACTTACTTTGGAGGGAAGACGGGGAAGGTTGAGCGGGCAGCTACTTCCTAACTACCGAACCCCCAGAACGCCGGGCTCCCAACCACTTATTTAAGGGATGATGCGCGTAGGAAGGGCATTCTCTTCTGGCGAGCTGGCCACGGCTCCGTGGCTGGCCAGGTGGTCACCCCCAAGAACGTGGAGCAGCGGCTCTGCGCCCTCTTCATGGCCACGGCCCCAGCGGATGGCACGGCTTCTGCCAATTTTAGGGTTGGGGGGGAGGGTTTTGGGGGGAGGGTTGGGGGGGGGGGAGATTGGGGGGGGTGGTGGGGGGGGGGTTCGCGCTCACAGATTTTCCGGGGGCACGAGCGAAAGCCATGAGAGGCTCCTGAACTTTGGATTCGGATCCGATTCTCCACTCAGCCTTTGGAACCATGCCAAAACCAATTCCAGCGATGGCTTGGGGAAATCTGCTTTTCTTTCTTTTTAGCCCAACACCGCACTCCCTGAGGTTTCTGTTTGGGCTGTGTACGGTCTTTGGGACCGAATTTGAGCCGTAAAGAAGTTCAGACTTGGCCAATTCGCTCGGAGAGCTTGAGAGCCAAACCTTGAGGCTCCTGCCCCTTTCCTTTGGATCCAAGGGAGATCTCTGTTGCGGTTTCCCTCCCCCTTTTGTGGGTTTGTTTTCAAGGAAGGAATTCGTGGGGTGGTTTTCAAGGTTTGGATGGGGTTGGGACCAAAAAAGAGGACGCCATGCCCAGCTTCTGGGTGTGTTAAATCGAGGTGAGCACATATGATTGCTGTTATGTACCCCTTTTGGCAAGTTGCGGGCTGGTTACTGGGATAGGTTGCTAGCACTTACAAGCGGGGAAGGGCAGGGGGGAAATTTTTCGGGGGGGGGGGGGGGGAGGAGGGTTCTTGTTTTGAAGAGCAACATGGTTCAAACAAAAGAGACGGCTACATGTTCAAACGAACAAAAAGGTTGGCAGGCGGGTTGCAAGCCCAAAAAGGGGTTGGCAGTGGGCAGATGGGCCAAAGTGTTTCTGCCTTACTGCACAGAGTTTGGCAGGCAGTGCCAAAGTGTTTCTTGCCACATGTTTTTCGGATCAACGAGTTCTTCGTTGCAGCTCCACGTCTCAGCCCGCCCCCCGAAGTCCGCAAGTCTCAGGCGGCCCGGCTGGCCCGGCAGCTCGGCGGGGGAGCGGCGGCCTGAGCTGGGAACAGAGTTCCCTCAATGGGCGGTGGTTGGTGCTGGTGGATATTGGCTGGTATCTCTGTGGAATCGATTTAGCATTTTCAGGTTCTCTAAATGGCGATTTGTTTTAAAGGGGAACACCCTCACAAGTCTAGGTCCCCCAGCTAGGTGCCAACTTTTACTCTTTCTTTTTTGGTTGGGAGGGTTCCCCTGCTAAAATAGACGTGCTGAAAAGAGTTGGTACCCTGATTCTAACCTCTCCAGGACCTAAGAAATCTCTCTTGAAGAAACCCGGATCAAGTCACTTACTTGCCGAAAATATTTGGAGCCAGAAAGGTGAACATCCTCTTTTTCACCAATCATGGAAGTGGACAGAGGGCTTTCTGTAGATGTTAGTCTTCCAACACCCTCCTGCGCATTTCCAGGCAACAGAAAAAACGAGGGTCAGTTTCTTGTTCTGGTCTGTCATGTGCCTTCTTGGGCGGGTTCAATTCGCGTCAAAGCTTTCACAATGCACCCGCGGCCAAAGCCCGTTGAATCCGAGTTGTAGCGAGGCCTTTGACCCTTGGAACCCCTAAGCTGATATAGCCTTGCTGCATCGCCGCGCTCACAGCGCGCAGCTTGTTCAAACCTCGATCGCATGAATTGAGGTGCGATCTTGGGGCTATGACCCGGCCAGTGCCCCAGAACCTGGACAGACACGTCCGGAGGACTGAAACCTCAGGTCCCACAAGCGGAGCCCCCCCCACCCCACCCCCCGAAAGGGTCCAATCCGATCTCTTCACAACCTCTCTTGGAGCGTAAGGAAGGGGGGCACCCTTTTTGGTGTCCTCCTTATTGCAATGTTTGGGGTACACTGACCAAACAAGTCTGTACCTTCCCTAAAACGTGGGACCTGAGATGAGCTTTCCTGAAACGGTGAAGTGTTGCGCCCACATTCACTGCCTATGGGTCCTGGGACGGGATGTTTTTTTTTTTTTTTCTTTCGAGGGGCCAAGGTAGACATGTAATTAGCAATAGTGCTGGTTCCACCGAATCAGGCTGATTGATGACGTCTCATTCACCGCGGCTCACGCAGACTTGGGATTTGGGCAGAGATGTCAAAATTGAACCATGGATCTGCAAGGAAAGATGCTCAAAGAGCTAATGCTTGTGGACAATGGGGGGCCCTAAGGCCGCCTTTGGTGTTATCAAGAGAATCTCCAAAGTGACAAAGTAGTCATGGGGATGCATGTGCCGATTTGGTATCACGAAGACAGTTCATTTCCCAGAACCATGTGCAGCTTATTCCCCGAACGAATCGACCATGGATCGGACAGAAGCGGACATCTAAGCGCCGTTCGGTTTAAACGAACTCAGTAGTCCCTGGTCAAACTCTCACTTCCTGAGTTCATGAACTTTGTACGTTTCGGGAAGATGATGTTAGTGGCAAACACAAAGCTCAAGCTTTTTCGGAGCAAGTGAGAAATAGGAGGGACATGGGACTCACTAACGGCAATTGGCGAGACCCCAAACTGTGTCCTGTTAGGGTAGCCGCCTGTTCTGATGCTGGCTCAAAAAGGACGGTTTTTGCGACATAGTGGCTTGAACAACTGGTTGCATGCTTTTGTCCTTGAGGGTTCTACCTTGCCTGTTCGAATTTGCCGTGTTGCCTTCCCTTGCTTTCTTGTTTTTTGGCGGTTTTGCCGCCCAAGCCCTTGACAGTCATGTCGTCCGAGGAATGTCCCCTTGGGGAGGAGCTGCAGGCACGCCCCCTTGGGCGGAGGGAGTGGGCAGTTGGAAGTGGTGCGTTTTTATAGGTAGACTCCCGTTTCTGGGTGGATTAAAATGCTTTCAAGTTCGTTTTGTTGGTGATATTTGAAGATAACATATGGAAAACGGATTCCTGCTCGGGGGATGCAGCTACAAGTTGGCGGGTTTGTTTCCCAAAATGCGTACCCGTGTTTGAACAGTTGTCCAGGGGTGCCATTGATGGCTTGCATGGGGTTAGGGCTTCAGCACGAAGATATGAGAGCTTGGAAGACTAGGGCTCCTTTGATTGATCTTGGTGGCGTGATGCGCCACCTTTTCACGAGCCGGCGGGACTCACAAGGGCTCGAAGCCTTTTTGACAGCCTAACACATGTTGACCCAGGATTCATCCAGTCCTAGAAGGTCATTAGAGATGTTCCTGTTTTGGTTTAACATGTTAGCGGGTAGCGCGACTAAAGTTGGCCCCGGATTTTGAAACCTGGCTGGATGACAAGGTCGGCAACAAAACCCCCAATGTGAAGTGGGTTGCATCACCCCTGGTAGTCAACCCGAGGTGTGTTGATCCACTAGAGTTGAACTTACCTTCCTTCCTCTTGTCACCTTTAGGAGGGTATCCTGAAGATTTAGTTCTTCTTTCAAAAGACCTTCTGCCAAGTTCCATGGAAACGTGGGCGGGAGGGAAACCTTTCACATCTCACGCTGGAAAGAACTCAGGCAGCGACCCGGACGGAGCTACGTGGCTGGGAGCTGAAGGAGGACTCCAAATGGGGTTCTCACAAGATGTGCTAACATGTTCGTTGGGGACAGTCTCAACCATTGATAATTGTTTTGGTGTGTTCCTTGAGGGCCTTGGCCGTAGGTGTCCTTTATAGCTTCGTTATATAGGTTAAAAATAGATGGCACTGGTTTAGATTGTGGTTTGTTTCACTTACTGTACCAGGGCCTTCTATTTCTTCCAAAGGCTCAACTATGATGGTGCCATTTTCTGTGATGACAAGGGAATCTCCGTCAGAGTGATAAAGTAGTCATAAGAATGTCGGAATGACCAATATTGGTATAACATAAAGAAACATTTTCCGGGCTTCCCGTGAATTGCCAACCAACTGGGTCTGCTACGTAACCCATATTATTTGTTTCATGTTGCCCAAAGGAAGAGCGAGCCACAAAGCGGTGGGCAACTTGTTGACAAGGAGCTTCCCTTGTAGCGAGGACGACGGCGATGCTCTGAGCATTGGGGAACATTGGTGTCCGTCTAGGTCACTTTGGTTGGTAATAGATGGTGCTGGTTTGAGCTTGCAACTGCCATAATTATCTGCCTGTGGCGAGCTCTGGGGGCAAACCTGGAATTCTTGCATACACTTTGTGATTCTCTTAAGAACCGACAAACCCTCACTCCGAGAGTTTCTGCACTGTCAGACTTTTTGGATAGAAACCCAAGGGCAAAGGGAAATTCATTCTAGCAGTGGCCAAAGACCTGGCAAAACCACAGGTTTGGGTTAGCTTGTTCGTTTGAAGTCAGCGAGGCAAGATCCGATCCCGATTCCTTGGCTTGCGGTCAACTTCCTGGCCATGTTTCGGGGGCGGGGGTTTGCCCGGGCTGAATCGCGGAGTTTTCTGCCAGAGCCTTATCAGAGGTGCATGTTGCCAAGGGATGTTAGGACTTTAAGTTTTTGCCAACGAATGGGTTTTCCGCATTAAGCCACTAAAAGTTAAATTACACTTTTAGCAGGGGAGCGGAAAGCAAGCGAGTTGTGACCTTCTTAGCTTTTAAGAACCGTTTTGTGGGATTCGTCGCATCTCCCACTAAAGGCTTGGGCAACGAGCCGCTGAGCTTTCCGCTGCTTTCTCCGAACTTCGAGTGGTCCCAGGACTGCGTGGTGGGCCCGGAGGTGCCACAGGTGGGAGACCGGAGAGATCTGTTTGGAGGGCCCTGAAGAGAGGAAAGGAGTTGTGCTTGGGGCTAAATTGCTATAAATGGGTTTGTGGGGCACTATGAAGCCAAATTCTTTTCGCGAGGCCTTTTAAAGGGGTCCCTTCATTTCCCTGATGGTTGACGGCAGATTTGCGGACTGCTGATGTTCACTCGTACTTGGGCGTGGGTCACTTCTTGGGGTTGGTTTTGAAAAGAACCAAAAGCCCCCCCCCAAAAAAAAAACAGAAACAAACATGGCTCCCACTCAGTGATCAAATCCACGCTCGACCCCTTTCTTACATAGAGACAACTCCATGCCCCAAGATTCTTGAGACACAAATGGAACCACTACTTTGACTTGCAAACCGGGCGCCACGTTATACACTATTTGAATCATTTGGGGGGGGGGGTCGTGAGGCAATATCTTATATTTTCAGGTTGGCCACATATGAAACACTACCTAAAGATGTTTAGCCTGCCCCGAAGAAATTCGAACACGGATTATTTGAAAGCTTTTTAAACCTGTCATTCCGCGCCAAGCATGTTCAAGGGATGCGTTTTAGAGGAGAACCTCAAGTTAGGTGTCGAACCCTAAACCTCTTTATGCTAGATGCATTTCTTTCTTTCCCTTGTTGTGGTGGCGCCCCGCGGTCTTTTTTCTTCTTCTTTTTTTTTCTCCGGAAACCCAGGGCAGCCAGCTCCTTGAACAAAAATCGAGCGATGGCGAAAATGAAAACGGAAGCTTCCATTTGCTTAAGAATATGTTTTTTCATGTTCCCCTGTTGTTGTTTTTTTTACTAGTGGACATGTTTTCTTTTTTCCTGGGGTCTGAAGCAGATGGAGGGAAGTCAAGGCCTCAGCCCCTCAGCGCCTCTGCGCGCCAGGCCAACTTCAAGCGGCTCAAGTCCTTGCCCAGCGGGCCGCCGTTCCTGAGCCGCTGGGTCTAGCGGCCGCGTTGCGCGGCGCCGCGTTGCGCGGGGGCGGCTGGGTCTGTTGAACCCCAAGTGAAGCAAACAATAACATATACATTCTATAACTGGGCCTAACTATAATCATGGCGGGTTGGGACTCGGTGCGGCGTCCTTTCTTTGTTTTTCTTCAGGGGGCCTGAGAAGGTGTGGCGCCCTGGTTACAACCCTTTCGGAAGAACACACCAAACTGTTTATTTGAACGTGTTCCTAAGAACCTTGTGGTTTTCTTGGGGCATCCCGTTGTTTTGTTGGCGTTCCTTGTTGGGAGGGTTTTACCAGACCTCATTTCCTGTTTCGTGCATTTGTGCCGGGGGCTTGCAAAGGAAAAAGGCGTTTGAGCAGCGCGCAAACCTGATTCCCTTTGGCCACTTGAGTAGCATTGCCAGACGCGGTTTGCCTTTCTAACTTTCCACCTTTGTGGTTTCCATCATGTCCCTTTCAAAAAAGCAACACCTCCACTTCTTGTTTTCCCGGGTTGTGGTATGCTTCAGGCAGCCTTGAGAACTCAAGATCCATGTTATTGGTAGCGCCAGACGTCAATGGCTTTGGGTGCCGCTCACTAGACTTGGCGGCTCCAGCCATACGGTTCCTTACACTTGATTTTTGGAGATAGATATATTTAAGACATATCCTACTAACGATTTAACAACTGAAAGAGTTAGAGCATCCCACTTGAGACGAGCCATTCACTTGACTTCTGGGCTCGGTGATGCCGTTTGAGCCGTTTTCCGGCTCTCCGGCCTCCAGAGACATCACAAAGCCAGCGTGTCCCAACTTTCAGCCCTGAGATCGAAGCCAGTTGCCACAACACTTCTTGGATCAGGCGGACTTGCTAGGCTTCCACACTTGACGTTTCGCCTGTAGGCATTGCGAGGCGATTTAGGCTCTATGCTCCTTTGGGAGGGTTCAGAGGTTGAACTCTGAGCAGATTGTTTCAAAATGTTCAGGTGACTCTAGCGAAGCGAGCAAATACTTGGCCGGGCCCAACTCCAATCACGGACCCCGTCGATCTTTGAGCGCGGCGGTAGCCGCGCAAACATCTTGCTGGGCAATGGGGCCTGTAGAGGACAACATCCAGGCCACTCGGCTGTTTGGCGGATTTCTGTGCATCACGCTTGTACATGGCCTCGGTGGGGATAATCATCAGCCCTTGAATTGTTATTTCATTCCAGAGCTTCAAACACTGCTGGATGTGTCCTTCTTTCGAGGGTGTTTTTGTGGGGGGGTAAAGGGATACCAAAGCGAAAAAACATCGAAGCCATTTTGGGGGTGGGGTTTGGGGGGGGAGGGGGGAAGGGGAGGGGAGGGGGAAAAAAAAGGGGAGCCCAGATTTTTGGCCTTATTAAGAGCTTGCGAACTAATTTTGGGCTCCCTCCCAAAGGCCCCATGAAAGAATTTCTTACCTGGGAACCGAGGAAGCCACACCCTGAAAGAGGTGTCGCGACAACCAAGGAACAGGGCTGTTTCTTTTGTTTTGGGACAACCAAAGGAACCAGAGCTTTTTGGGGCGTAACCTATTTTGAGGCATTTGGTGATCTATTATGATCCCGATGCTTGGCATTGCTTTGTCGGGCGTTATGAGCACATGACCCAGATAGTTGAGTCCAGCTGTTCAAAACAACATGGGTTCGAATGCAAAACTCAGGACGAATCTGGAGGACACTACTGCGAATCAGAGGTGGCTTCCCTTCAAAGGCAATTTTTCCAAACGAGGGGATCGATTGCGCGACAAGTACGAGCCTTCCGTGAAGCCGAGGCTATCCTGCTCGCCCAGGAGTAATAAGCCCCGTGTAGAAAAAAAAGCATTGGGGGGGGGGGGAAACACCCAAAGAAAAATCCACCAGGTGGATGACACCCCGGGGTCCGCAGTACTCGCTTCCTTTTTTCGGAGCCTGTTTCTTTGCCCACTGGTAGGTGCCCGGCTCGGATGATAGGCGGGGAAGCCGGCTCTGAGTTCGAGGGAATGTCTCCCCCCGCCCAGCCTTAGCGTGCGTCCCCAAAACTTGTGTTCCCCTTTTGCAACCGCCCCAAAAAGGCCAGTTTGCTTTTGGAGATCACCCACACCAAGGAGACTCTCCATTGAGCTGGGTGTTCAACCCACTTCCGCGGACATAGCAGCACACGTTTTTGGGGGGACTTGACACTGGGCAAAATCCTGTCAGCAACAAGTCTGGCTCCTCACAGAGTCTGCAGAGGCCCTCCTTGAAGCCGCGAACAACTTGGATACTTGCGCTGTAGAAACCTGTGTGGAAACCCAAAGAAACCCGCGGTAAACTGTGAAAAGCTCGTGCGAAACCTTAGCAAAGGTTCCGGGTCTCTCGGTCGCCAGGATCCGTGTCCAAGGCCTCACCAGCCCGAGGCTCAGCCAAGGGCACCGTGGCACCTGCGGCCTGTGCAGGGGCAGGTTGGCTCTTCTTGCACATGGCTCACTAGGGATGGGATCGTGCGCCAAAGTGAGTCATCTGGGTCCCCCAGTGCCCTTTCTCACCCGTTTCTTTTTTGGTTGGTAGGGTTTCCCTACTAAAATAGACTACAGAAAAAAAAGTTGGTGCCCTTACTTTAGCCTCTCTACTGATTCTGCGGGGCAGGTTGCTTTGGTCCCTTTGAAAGTGGCTGAGAAGCGGCCGAAGGTTGATCCGACCCTCCAAAAAAACACGTAGGAAATCGGTCAACTCTCGCAGCTGGTGAATGAACCGTTTGATGGCAGTTACATGTATGGAAAACCTCCACCACAAGAATGGTCAACAGTTTCCTTTGGTTTCCCTGCATCGATTTTCTGTACCAGGTACGGATTCCTACCCTGGCAGGAAGTTGGTTGTTTGTTCCGGGCGGCCCAGAACCGATTTACAGCCGGTCTCTTAAAGCCTGATATTGCAGGTTCTTCGGGCCTGGACCCTGCAAGGAGCAACCCAGCAGTTACCTACGGAGATGTGCATTTGCGCGACTTCTGGTAGGGGTAAAACGAGCTCACGGATTCCTTAGTTCGGGCTGGCACATTGTGGAAGTTAGCGCAGAAATGATGCAAAGGTAGAAACTTGCTACAGGCTTCCTGGTAGTTCAGGCTCAAGGCACTAGCGTTCTGTTTGTGCAAGTTACAACAAGCAGGAACAGGCAAAATGGGATTGTTCAGCTTAGCGAGTGATGAGCGTCCTTGAACATTCCAGAGGTTTGGGCTGAACATCATCCAATGATCCGCGGAATTCGCCCTTATTCATGGAATCCACGCCCCCTCCCCAAAACCCCCACCAGAAGAATCCCTTGAGGAAGGCATCAATAGGGTTATTTGGGGGGCAAGGGGCTGGCTTTTGCCGTGCCAAACGTTGATTTTACAGGTGGGTGCTTTCCGTTTGATCCAACGCCTTCAACCCACAACCCACCCTTGGGCTACCTGAGTACATTCCGCATGACTTGTGCGCAAGCTTTCAAGAAGACAGTCAGGCTGCCCCTGCAACGACCTGCTAAAGAGGTTCTCAAGATTGCTTTTGGCGCTATAATTATTGCCGGCGACACTTGCATGGGCCAGTAGCCAGGTCTGCTGTCTCACTTCCTGACTTCCTGGATGCTTAGGCGAACCAATTCAGCGGCAAGGAAGCCTTACCTCTTAAAAATACCACCGTTCGTAACTTTCTGGGTAACATGGGCTATATGTTTGTAGGTTAACTTCCCAACCCTTGGAGTTTTAAGGGGCAAGATAAGCAGCTCGGACGTTTTTTTGGGCCAATCCCACTGGTTCGGAGGCGAGTTCTTTGAAACCGAAAGGCCAGACACGGAGCTTTCGGCCGGATCGAACCCGAGGCCCAGATGCCATGTACCCCCCGCCTCGGGAGTTCAATAAGGACCGGGGGTGCATTGGGGCGGAAAAAAATAAATAAATAAAACAACGCGTCTGCCTCGAGGTCTGTGCGAAAGTGGCCATCGAACATGTCTCTCGACTCCGTACTTTTGGCAGTGTTCCTTTTGAAATAGCTCACTCGCGAAGTTCACGGACTTGAAACCTTCTGGGTTTGGACCATTTTAGTGGCAAACAAAAGTGTAGGTAAAAACTAGACGACGAGTGGCCCGGAAGCATAGAGGCAAGTTGATGCAGGTGAGGTAACTCTCGCCAAGTTAGCATGAGGAGTTGGCAGGCGAAGCAATTCTCAAAAAGTTGGCATGAGAAGCTGGCAGGTTAAGTAACTCTCGAATAGTTGGCTGGCAAAGTTGGCGGGTGAAGTAATTCTCGCAAAGTTGACATGAGAAGTTGGCAGGCGAAGTAACTCAAGAGAAAAGTTGGCATGAGAAGTTGGCAGGTGAAATAACTCTCAAAGAGTTGGCATGAGAAGTTGGCAGGTGAAGTAACTCTCGAAAAGTTGGCGTGAGAAGCTGGCAGGTGAAGTAATTCTCGAAAAGTTGGCACGAGAAGATGGCGCGTGAAGTAACTCTCGAAAAGTTGGCGTGAGAAGCCGGCAGGTGAAGTAACTTTCGAAAAGTTAGCATGAGAAGTTGGCAGGCGAAGTAATTCTCGAAAAGTTGGCGCGAGAAGTTGGCAGGCGAAGTAACTCTCGAAAAGTTGGCAGGCGATGTTGGCAGGTGAAGTACCTCTCGAAAAGTTGGCATGAGAAGCTGGCAGGTGAAGTAATTTTTCGAAAAGTTGCCACGAGAGGTTGGCAGATAAAGTATTTCTCGAAAAGTTGGCATGAGAAGTTGGCAGGTGAAGTAATTCTCGAAAAGTTGGCAGGTGAAGTTGCCACGAGAGGTTGGCAGGTAAAGTATTTCTCGAAAAGTTGGCATGAGAAGTTGGCAGGTAAAGTAATTCTCGAAAAGTTGGCATGAGAAGCTCGCAGGTGTAGTAACTCTCGAAAAGTTGGCATGATAAGCTCGCAGGTGAAGTAACTCCTCGAAAAGTTGGCACGAGAAGTTGGCAGGTGAAGTAACTCTCGAAAAGGTGGCATGAGAAGCTGGCAGGTGAAGTAATTCTCGAAGTTTCGGCATGAGAAACTGGCAGGTGAAGTAATTAACCCTCAAAAAGCTGGAGCGGCGGAGGCGCTCCGCGTGCTACATTTGCA